GCAAAAAGCAGAGACAAGATTCTCCTGCCACCAAACTCGACACACTCCACACCACGGCTGCGCCTAGAAATTCTGTCCATAAAGGTAATGAACAGAACCAGTGACAAAGGGCAGCCCTGGCGGAGTCCAACCCTCACCGGGAACAGGTCCGACTTACTCCCGGCTATGCGGACCAAATTCATGCTCCTCTGGTAAAGGGACTGAATGGCCCTTAATAGAAAGCCACCAACCCCATACTCCTGGAGCGTCCCCCACAGGGTACCCCTAGGGACACGGTCATAAGCCTTCTCCAAATCCAAAAAAACACATGTGAATTGGTTGGGCAAACTCCCATGCCCCCTCCATCACCCTTGTAAGGGTATAGAGCTTGTTCCACAGTACCACGGCCAGGACGAAAACCACATAAATCCTCCTCAATCTGAGATTCAACTATCGATCGGACCCTCCTCTCCAGTACCTTGGAGTAGACCTTTCCAGGGAGGCTGAGGAGTGTGATCCCCCTATAGTTGGAACACACCCTCAGGTCACCCTTCTTAAAGATGGGGACCACCACCCCGGTCTGCCACTCCACAGGAACTGCCCCCAATGACCACACAATGTTGCAGAGATGTGTCAACCACGACAGCCCTACAACATCCATAACCTTGAGATACACAGGGCGAATCTCATCCGCCCCCGGTGCTCCGCCACTGTGTAGTTGTTTGACTACCTCAGCAACTTCTGCCCCCGAGATTGGACAGTCCATCTCCAGGTCTCCTGGCTCTGGTTTCTCCTCGGAATGCGCGTTGGAGGGATTGAGGAGCTCCTCAAAGTATTCCGTCCACCATCCGACTATAGCCCCAGTTGACGTCAGCAGCTCCCCATCTCCACTGTAAACAGTGTGAGCAAGTTACTGCCTTCCTCTCCTGAGGCGCCGGACAGTTTGCCAGAACCTCTTAGTCTTTCTCCATGGCCTCACCAAACTCCTCCCACGCCCGAGTTTTTGCTTTGTCAACTGCCACTGCTGCATCCTGCTTGGATATCCGGTACCTGTCTGCTGCCTCCGGAGACCCACAGACCAGCCACGCCTTGTAGGCCTCCTTCTTCAGCCTGGCGGCTCCCCGAACCTCTGGTGTCCACCAGCGGTTACTGGGGTTGCCACCACGACTGGCACCGGCCACCTTGCGACCACAGCTAGCAACAGCCGCCTCAACAATCGCAGAGTGGAACAAGGCCCACTCGGAGTCAATGTCCCCCACTGCTCTCGGGACACGGTCAAAGCTCTGCTGGAGGTGGGAGGTGAAGACCGTCTTGACAGGTTCTTCTGTCAGGCGTTCCCAGCAGACCCTCACTATGCGTTTGGGTCTGCCAGGTCTATGTAGCATCTTCCCCTGCCATCTGATCCAACTCACCACCAGGTGGTGATCAGTTGACAGCTCCGCTCCGCTCTTCACTCGGGTGTCCAAAACATACGGCCGTAGCTCAGATGATAAGACTACAAAGTCTATCATCGACCTGTGACCTAGGCTGCCCTGGTACCAAGTGTACCGATGGGCATCCATCGGTACACTTATGTTCGAACATGGTGTTCGTTATGGCCAAACTGCGGCTTGCACAGAAGTCCACTAATGAAACACCACTCGAGTTCAGATCAGGCAGGCCGTTCCTCCCAGTCACACCCCTCCAGGTCATGCTGTCATTGCCCACGTGAGCATTGAAGTCCCCCAGTAGGACAATGGAGTTCCCTGATGGAGCACTATCTAGCACTCGTCCCAGGGACTACAAATAGGGTGGGTACTCTGAACTGATATTTAGCCCATAAGCGCAAACAACAGTCAGGACCGTTCCCCGATCCGAAGGCACAGGGAAGCTACCCTCTCGTCCCCCGGGGTAAACCCCAACACACAGGCAGAGAGTCTTGGGGCTAGCAAAAAGCCAGTTTTGAAAAGTTTTGAATTTGCACCGTCTTCCTGACATCACTCACTCCTGCCTTTAAAGGACACAAAGACATATTTTGAAAGATTGTTACTGTTTATATTGACTGTTTATTCAATAAATTAGGCCTGCTTTTCAAACCTTATCTCTTTCATATCTTTCATATTCTATGTATTATACTTATTGTACACACCGCATTACACTTTACTGCTTATTTCACATAGTTGGATGTTAAACTGCATTTTGTTGTTCCAGTATTGGTCATTTTAGGTTAGTCCAGTCATCCAGAAACAAGATTAAGGGTAGATGACTAGGCTAATATCTCCCGCTAACAGCACAGACATATTGGACCTGAAAAAATATTTTTTTTCTACCTCAGAGATAAGTACTTGTAGTTGTTCGCTACCTTTTTTGTCTGGACTGTACGTAGCATTACTATGATAAATATATAGTTACCACTTAAAATCATTCTAGTTATTAATTTAGCCGTGTTGAATTCAATTTAATTACGTTAACAACTTTGTTCAAACGACCATGCCAGTCTTCAGTTCTCACTGCCTCCTGGCTGCGGTCTGTGTAGCTAGCTAAAAACAGTATGAACAGCTGAGGCTCTGTCCTCTGAGCACATACTTAGTATTTTTGATAGAATCAAATTCATGACATTTTTCTCATTCACATATTTTTGTTTCTGCTGTCGGACGATAGAACAAGTATGAATAACTGAGTGGAGCGCGGGTCCCCTAGACTACCTGCTATCCGTTGCTATCCCGAAGCTCTCGTCATGTTCGCTCGTCTCAACGCATGAGTGACAAAAACAAAAGCTCTCCGCTGCTCCTTTGTCACTCAACAGAGAGAAGGAGAAAAACCTCTCACTCTATAAACTGCGATAAAGCAATACTCGTGAACCAAGTCGCTACTTTTGGCCCTTCTTTGGATAAATAAATCTAGGGGTGAAAAATCTGTAAATCTAGCAAAAAAGTCAGTTGGAAAAACAGAAGTGGAACTGGAACTGAAGAGGAATATGCAATCTGATTGGTTGGAAGCGTCATGTGGGGCACTGTGCCAGCTAGATGTAGAAATGAAAGGAGAAGCGCTACAGCCCAATATTGCCCAAAATGTTTAATCCGTTTGTTTATCCACAAGGAGGGAAAATTATTTTCCAGGACAACTCATAAAAATTTCCAGGACATTTTGCAATTCCCCCCATTTTCCATGTGTTTTCCATGACTGGAAAATTGGACTATAATTTTCCAGGTTTTCCAGGACGCGTGGGAACCCTGTATTACCAAGAATCTCAGAAACACACACCTTCTTTGACACCTGAGGCTCTGAACTGGGGTAAAGGTTATGTATGGGATTTAACTTTACCTTACTTGTTCTTGTGTGAGTGCAAATGTTATGACCTCATCAAGTAAAACATGCTGAAACATATGTCATTGAGCACAGATTAATGAAACATTAAATTATTTTATAATTATTATAAGTAGCAATAAACAAATGTCATTTAATGATTATTTAACTTTATTAGTTGTGGAAGTTCATCTTTAATTTTAAAATCTTCCTCTTCTGTGAAGCATCGAGACTTAGATAAGAGGGTGCTCTGTGAGGAGAGAATGTTTATTGTCATGATTTCACTATCTCTGTCAGAGCTGCAGGCTCTGAGTTCCAGCTGGTGGGATGAAGGCAGGCTGATTTAAAAGGGGACACATGCAGTCTCGTGTGTCCTTTTTGACCAGATGTTGAATGGTCAAACAGTACCTAAAACTGACCATTGCTGGACATTACAATATCTATATGGCTTTGGATTCAGGGACCCATGTGGTTCTGATACTAATTGATCTATCAGCAGCCATTGATACGATCAATCATATAAAATCCTGATCTCCAGACTACTCACTTGGACTGGCATCTCAGGTTTGGCCCTTGGCTGGTTCCGCTCGTAGTTTTCTAACAGGACCATCAGGGTCATGCTGGACGACTATTAATCCCAGTCAGTCTTTCTTTCCTTGAGGGGTCCCTCAAGGTTCCATTCTCGGCCCGTTACTGTTGTCCCTCTATATTCTGCCTTTAGGAGCAATTCTCAGACAGCATGCTGTTTCATACCATCAACAGTATATGCAGACGACTGCCAAATCTATTTTTCTCTTAAATCCACCGATTACACTAAGCCTGTTTGACTGTCTTCACGATGTAAAGGAATGGTTGGCTGAGAACTTACTCCATCTGAATGGCCCTAAAACAGAGGTCATTGTTTTTAGTCCCGAAAACAGAGCGACCCCGTCACCTGACTCCACTCTCCTCCTCCGCTTTAAACCCGGGAGTAAAAATTGACCCGGTTCTGAAGATGAACGCTAAGGTCAACAGCACAGTTAAGTCCTGCTTCTACCATCTTAGGCGAATTTCTAAATTAAAGCCCATCCTGGGGACCATACATGTGAAACTCGTCTTCCACGACAACATCTACCTCAAACATTTTCCATACTTCTCTAAATAATTAGTCCAGATGTGTCCAAAAACATTCTTTATTTTCAAATGTATGTTTAGATTTCAAATAGAATTACCAACAGTAAAAACACACAAGGTTTTGTTTTTATTTTGCTGCCCCCAAAAGCTGTTTCTGCATCAAAGCTTGACCTTTAAATACTAAAAAGTCAATCAGAAGCGTATTTATATGGGGGAGAATATACTTCATCATCACCAGGAGTCTGTTGATGTCGGGACTCCGGACAACGAACCGTAACCTCGTAGTGCTGTTTGGAATGAGTGGGATTAGAAATAAACCAAAAGCAACAAAGTGTTTAGATCAGGTGACATGGACCTCTCCTAGCTTCTGTTATAGATCTATAGCTGAGGCTGTGAGGCTGGTCTAGCTGTCAGCCATCAGTTCTGTTTTACACGGTTCACACTTCAAACATGCACAGATGTGTGGTCACCACGGTAACACTCCCCAGCTGCTGGGTGAAAACTAGAACAGCGGCAGAAGCTCTGATGGTCACACATTGGTGTTTCTACTGGGACTGATGGAGACTTGAGGAGTTTCTGGTTAGATACCCGTGAGTAGACCCTTCCATGTTTGTGTCTCGTAGACTTGTGTGTCCTCGACCCGCTGCTCTGCCGAGATGACAACTCCCTCCTGAGCTTCGAGGCAATCCGCAGCATCCACAAGCTGATGGACGATGACGCTGATGGGATGGTGGACGCCACAGAAACTGACGAGGTGAGACACGGACACATCCTGTTTGTCCCTTTGGAGCTGAAGTCCTGTCGATAAGCCCTCGTCTTCCTCAGTTCATCAGGGAGGACCTGAACTTCCATGACCCCAAAGCCAAACACAGCAGCTTCCACAGAACCGACCCACACATCAGCGTGGAGGACATGTGGAACGCCTGGAAGAGCTCAGAAGGTGAGGAAGAGGCGGAACCAGTGCTTCGTCAGTTTGTTTATTTTATCTGCAAAGAAAACAGATCCTGTATGAGCTGAAAGGAGAAATAAAGCAGGCATGCTACCTAGGCAGGACCGGGACAAAGGTCCAAACAGGAACACTGGAAAGATTCACGTCTATTTTTACACCAGAGCATTTTTCCCTCGGTTTTCCGGAATGTAAGATGATGATAGGAAGTGATGAAGAGCTGTGATGTTCCCGAGGAAGGAGCGGTTCTGTTTGGGGTCATCGTGTGTGTGTGTGTGTGTGTGTGTGTGTGTGTGTGTGTAGGTTATAACTGGACGGTGCAGCAGGTGGAAGACTGGCTCTCCAACAGCGTGGAACTTCCTCAGTACGCTGACAGCTTCAGGAACCACCAGCTGGATGGGAAATCTCTGCCCAGGTAATGACACTGTACTGGACCCGGGCCTCGAGCGGGAACAGCTGATTATCTGAACACTGGTTTGGCTTCCCTGGTCCAGTTCTTAAATGGTTTCAAACATACCTTAGAGACAGGCGGTCATTCGTATCAGGAGGGTTTAACTCTAAAACGTGGGGGTTTCTTGTGGTGCACCTCAGGGTTTGATTCTTGGTCCTCAGGGTTTGATTCTTGGTCCTCAGGGTTTGATTCTTGGTCCTCTGTAATTTAATCTGTATATGCTTCCACTTGTGCACGTCATCCAGAGTGTCAGTAAATGTGAATGATCATAACTATGCAGATGATTTTCAGTTCTATGTGTAATGGTTTCCTGGTGATACAGGTCTCCTTGACCCCCTTACACAACGCATAAAGGACATGAATGCATGGATGTCAGAACACTTCTTACAAATAAATCTAGATAAAACAAAAATCCTGGTACAATCTGTCCAATGCTCAGAGACAACGTTCTTCTCATTTAAGCATACTCTATCAAAAATGAATTCATGCATTGCATTCATAACTCGTGGGTTGGATTATTGCAATGGCCTGCTAACGGGCCTCACTCAGTATGCTGCTGCTCGTATTCTGATCGGGTGAAAGAAATCAGGACACATCACTCCTGTCCTAAGATTCAATTCAGTTTATTTCTATAACAGCAAATCAGGACCAGTCGTCTCAAGGACCTTCACACAGTAAACAATGCAGGTCAGGTCAGTAAGCCGATCAGTAACAAGTTTCCTATATAAGGAACCCTACAGGTCGCATCGAGTCACTGACTAGTGTCAGAGTCTTTACAGCAATCCTAAGCAAGCATGCAGCGACAGTGGGAAGCAGCCACAATAAACACTTTTCACAAACCTGGTTAGGTCTTCTCTTTTAATATCATTCTCTAGTTTTCATTTTAGAAAAAAGTTTGTTTACTTTTACCTCAGCCTCGTGTGTGTGTGTGTGTGTGTGTGTGTGTGTGTGTGTGTGTGTGTGTGTGTGTGTGTGTTCTTGTACATACTACATACTGAGGACCATTTTGAACATTTTCCCTACAAAGTGTGGACATTTTTTTGGTCCTCACTTTTTTTAGAAGCTTACTATAAAAGTTAGAGGTATAGTGTGAATTAAGTTGTAGTTGAGGTTAAGGTTAGGAAAAGATCTGCGTTGGTTATGGTTGGGGTATGGGTTAGGCATGGTGAAATCACAAAAATGAATGAAAGTCAATGGAGGGTCCTCACTATGATAGAAAGACGTGTGTTTGTGTGTGTGTTGCATCTACTGTAAAGCACGTTGTGTTGGATTTGATCTGAGCTGATGAAGGTGATATAGACATCCTGGTTCTCGTCCTGAATCGGCTAAATCATTCAAATGGGTCAGGGGGACGTTTGTAATCCAGAACTGGGTCAGAACAGAACTCTTCTCCTCACTGCAGGCTGGCAGTGAAGAACTCCTCTCTGACTGTGGTGCTGCTGAAGATTCTGGACCGAAGTCACACTCAGAAGCTGCAGCTCAAAGCTCTGCACATGGTTCTGTTCGGACCTCCTCCAGGTCTGGCTCCTGATTCAGAATCATCTCTTGATCCATGAAGTTCAGGTTTTAAACAAATGATCTGCTGAAGAGCAGAAGACTCAGAGCTGGATCAGAACCACTGCTGGAGGTTCTGATCCAGCGTAAAAATGACCAAAATGCCAAAGATAAACAGGTTATGGTCCAAGTGTGTGTGTGTGTGTGTGTGTGTGTGTGTGTGTGTGTGTGTGTGTGTGTGTGTGTGTGTGTGTGTGTGTGTGTGTGTGTGTGTGTGTGTGTGTGTGTGTGTGTGTGTGTGTGTGTGTGTGTGTGTGTGTGTGTGTGTGTGTGTGTGTGTGTGTGAACAGGCCAGCAGAACCGGTGGAAGGACCTGGTTCTGGTCCTGTCGGTCCTGATGGCGCTGGGCGGATGCTGGTTTGCCTACGTTCAGACCCGCAGGTCCAGGAACGATCTGGGGAAGCTGAAGAAGGACCTGGAGGGTCTGCAGACAGCAGAGCAGAGTCTTCTTGATCTTCAGGAGAAGTGAGTCCATCACCAGTCCAACAACACCGATTCAGACCCTGAACCGGGTCCACGTCCTGTTGACAGAACCACGATCTGGCCTGTTCTATGTGGTTCTGGTTCATACAACTGAATCATGTTAATGAAAGGTTCATCAGAGCAGAAAGACATGTTTAACCCGCAGGATAGTGGCACACACACACACACACACACACACACGGTCCACCTGTACCAGAACCAGAACCTGCCGCTCCTTCAGGAATAAAGAAAATTGGCCCGTTTCTTTCCATAAGTTAATTTAAACAAACTGATGAAGCTGCAGCTCAAACTCCTCCAGGTGACGAAGTCATCGTCTACTTTCATTGTTTTAGTGGCGGCTTTTGTTTTCTGTTGATAAAAGCTGTTTCTGATTCGTTCAGCTCTGTGGGAGTCTGATGATGTCGTGAAAAGAGCTTTAGAAATAAAGTCAAGTAAAGAGAAAGTGTGTGTGTGTGTGTGTGTGTACACAGCCTCGGCAGAAGCTCTCGGTTTGAAGTCCTTATTTGGACAAAGAAGGCCAGCAGCCTATTAAGCACACACACACACACACACACACACGCACACACACACACGCACGCACACACACACACACACACACACACACACACACACACACACCAGTGTTTCCCCAAGGAATTTTTCCAGCGGTGGTGTGTGTGTTGGGGGGGGGGGGGGGGGGGGGGATTATGACACGTCTCACCTTTATGTTAATATTGTTTTATTTGATGCACTCCACTCTGAACTGCACCAGTCCAGCAACTGCTGCATGTTAATAACTAGTATTAAAGGTGAAAACACCAATATTTGCACAAGAATAATTTTTGTTTTAAACTCTCAGTGACACACTTTGCAGGGTGGATTTGGCATTTAATTTTTCTTGGCGTCTGGAAAAGCATCTCCTTCTGCCCCCTTTATTTTGGCCCTAGATCATTACCGGGCTGGCCCTGTTAAACACCTTCTACACCCCTGCTTAGTAGACTTAATGAAGTATTTATAAGCCAGTATAAAAATGACTGAAACACAAATTTACATATTTGGCATTATTGACCAATATCTTTGATTTAATTTATGTGTTAAGAACATCAAGATGCATTACAGTGAACATTATAATAAAGTACATGTTTCTAGTGCAGAGAGGAGACGACCCATAGAAGCACTGGTTTGATCTCATTTCAGAGAAAAATAGAACAGGTCAGATGCATCTAATAAATAAAATTACTAATATAAACTCAGGAATCTGTTTCTTTGCTTCGTTGTTCTGGTGCTGAAAATATCACTAATGCAGATCAAAGGAGATCCACAGATGAATGCACCTCTTATTTATTATCTGGAAATGAGTGGGTGTGGTTTACATCAATACATTATTTTAAATCTGAAATTGATATGGATGGATCAGAAGTTGCTATGTGTGTTTATCTGAAAACTATTTACAGAGCAGCCTCAGAATTGAGATTAAATATTTTTGACCACAATAGTAAAACTATTACAGAACAAGTGTTTCAATAAAATCAGAACATTAATGTTTAAGTGCATGGATTAATACATCTGAACTCATGCAGTAGGAACTAGGAAATAAATACTAGAACCATTTTATTTTTATTTGATTAAACAGATTTTTTCCTAACATTGTTGGCATTTTCCCCACACACAGTTAAACAAAACACTGTTGATTAAGGTGTGTGTGTGTGTGTGTGTGTGTGTGCGCGTGTGTGAAAGAGATAGAGAGGGAGAGAGAGTTAAAATAATAAAAAAATAAAACCCGACCGGAGCGGAGGCAGTGACTGAAGCAGCACGAGCTGTTTTCAGCTCTGTCTTGTTGAATGCTCCACGTACGTTACGATAAAAGTAACTTTAAATATTCAACCGAAAAAGAGGCGAGCTGAAGAAAACCTAGGGAGTACCGAAGAAACGTGAGCATTAGTGAAGCAAGCACAGAGAGATCCGTTACTGTGTGTGTGTGCGTGCGTGGATGCATGGGCCAGACAGCTCCCGGCTGCAGTTTTGTGTGTAGGGAGGGGCGGGCGCTCTATGTGACTGGCCAATCACAAAGCGTGAAGACAGTCAGTTACCCAATGAGGATTTTCCTTCAGCACGATTACAGATATTTTCGAGTTTTACACGTTTCATGCTCGTATTCGTCAAAAATGCTTTATCCGTACCGGATACTCGTCTGAAACAAGTACCCGGCTCATCCCTAGCTGTAACCACCCTGCCCTGCCTCCTCCTCCTTGCTGCCTGCCGGCTTTGATCACAAGAAACAACAGAGTAGTTCCTGCTGCTTCTTCAGGAACGGCGCAAATAAATAAAACTTGGGATCTTGTAGGCGTGGCGTTGGGATTTCAGCCGTGTCGGGCCGCCACGGCTACGCCTATGTAAGGGAAACACACACACACAAACACTGAAGATGTAGTTACACTTTGGGAGCTGCAGCTGATTGACTTTCGATTTTAGCCAAAAATATCTGTGTGTGTGTGTGTGTGTGTGTGTGTGTGTTTGTTTGTTTGTTTGTTTGTTTCAGAGCAGCAGAACTGGTCCTGCTCTGATCTTCTTCAGATCTCCTGAAGATCTCTCGACCGCCTCTTGTCTCAGTTCTGGATCTGGTACCAGAACACCGTTTTGCTTGTTAAGGCAGTAATCCTGACCTCCTGGTTTCCTGGCTCAAGGCATGAGCCAGAATTAAACCAGCACAAAACAGAACCTGTTTAAACTGGTCATCTCCCAGCTGATCGTTGGAAGAACTGAAACATCGGCCCAATCCCAAAAACTCGCACTTCCACATCCTTCCTGCACCTTTCAACTGCGTGATAATCAACCAGAGCTGCGAGTGCGTAGTGTCCCAATTCTCAAGTGCGGAAGTTGATCACGCCCCTTTTGTGCCCTTGATCAACACTTCACCCAAGTCTGCCCGCCTCTATGTGGCCTTGGGTGAAGGGTAATACCCACAATCCATTGCTGCAGGAGAAAAGGCCTTTTCTGAAAACATGTATTTTCTAATGAAGTAGTTATTTTTAGGACAATTAGTTAATGCTCCTAAACTTTTAGACAAAGCAGCAATGAATGCGAATTTATTTCAAATTATTGTTTGGCTGTTTGCTTGAAAGTTGTTAATAAAGTTTTTCTTTTTAAGTATCACAGCGACCAGTATCCCGGCACGCATTGCGGTTGATGACGCAATGCTCTGTGTCTCAATTCGGTGATTATTTGCACACCTGTGAACCACGCACTCGAAGCCTTACAGCACACTTTCTCCAAGAGCACTCTGCTGAAGACCGCAGGGCGAGTGTTGGGATTGGGCCATCCGGAAATCCCTCACCAGCTGTTTGGCCTCCAGTTCTGCTTGCAGGAACACGCCCACTTCCTCCTGCGGCAGCGCCACAACGCCTCCTACTGCCAGCACTAGTCTCAGGCCAGTTCCTGCTGGTTGTAGACAGCGGGCCATAATTGCTGGGTTTCACTCACGTCTGCAGCCGCGCAAAACTCAAAAGTGGGCAGGAAGTGATCTGCTCCGCAACAAAACAGAGATACGACACGGCGCGAAGGATGAAAGCTACGAAGGCTTAAATGAGCTGGCACAGACGCGATATCAAGAAAAAATTACATCCTTTAGGTTATGACCCATCGAGTTTTAAAAGTCGCACTTTTCATTCACTGTGGAGGATTTACCCAGCGCTGAAGCGATCAGCAACACAAACTCTAGCTGCCTTCCTCGTATCACACTGCAAACCAAACGAAAGCCTTTTACTGGCCTGGACGCCTGCAGCTGTTTTATTTCAGGTTGGTTCACCTGTTAGTGATCCGGAGAAGCTTTAAATGACCATTGTCTTGTTTTTGCGATGAGTAGTGAGTTGTGCTACTTTTTCATTAGCTCATGATAATAATGCAATCACTAATGCTAACGATCAGTATGTGCTAGGATCTACTTGTAAATAACGTATTATTCCTTTTAAATCCAGATTTCTGGTCCGTTTGTTTGATTTTAATAAGGTATAAACGCCACGTTACAACACTAAGCTAACTGCTAAAAAAATTAGCACCCTGAAAGCCATTAGCAGTGAGGACATGTGAAAACAGTATAAAACTGTTAACCTGTGGTTTTTATTGCTGTTTAAGCAACAGATTAATAAAACACTCAGTAATCTCTTAACTGGTAGAAAGTGATCTCTGTAAACTCCAGCATCGTCCTTTCAGATCCTGTTGTAAACCGTAGATTACTGATCCACTTCCACCATCTTCTTTCAATCTTTGTGGCGCGCTACATTCAGGACTTAAAAAAAATGTCCCGATTATAATGATGGTAATAACTGTAGATCGCACAAAATGTCGGCATTTTAACCCCCAGTCACCAAAGTAAAAGGGTGTTTTTTTTGTGCCGACGTGCGACCGGCTTTGATGCCAGGCTGTAGTCATGCTGGTCAGTGGTGGATCTCTGAGGGAGACCACAGAAACACCGCAGCTCTTTTAAGTTGATGCTTTTTCACTTCTGAGTCACTCAACTGTTTGCTGGTTGAATGGGGGAAATTCTGTGCGTTTATCACCACAGTTTGGTCTAAGATGGGCTGAAATACAACATGTTAGTGTGGCTGCTGGGTATTTGACTGAGGATCTAGCTTTGCCGGTCCACCGTGGTGAAAGATCCGTGAGTCCGCCGTTATTGGCTCTGGTCGGGAGCACGACACGAAATCGTGAGCCTAGTCCCAGAGCCACGTGTGTCGACAACGGCGGACTCTGATTTTTGACAGCAGTGGACCAGCAAAGCACGATATCCTGGGTCAGCTTACCTAGTTATGATTTCGTTACCCAGCAGGCTGGAGGTGCCTTCACATTGGAGTCGTACTACTGCGTTTTTCTTGCCAAAAACATCCTGGAAAAACTCCTTTAGGTTCGAGTTAGCATGTAGCTAATGTCCTGCGCGCTGATCTCCGATCGTGGAGAATGAGCTGATCCTAAAGGCCAGGGCTCCTGGTCACAGCGGTCTGGCTGTGCTGGTAATGTAACAGTCCCGATCCTAACAGATCTCCACAGGCGACCAGCATGACTACAGCCTTGCACTGAAGCTGGTCAGCCGTACGGATGTGCTACCCCGCAGTCCCCGGTACAATTCTTAGCTTCTTGGGTTAGTTAAGTTAGCTAGTAGGTACATTGGTTTTATTTGTTGGGACATGGTTCCGACCCAGCTCCACCTCTTTTCCCATTTTTGGATAGTCTGGGCGTGATTCGGTCAAAAAAATCTGTGGTGGGAACCTCCCTTTTCTGGCTTCAACTTCCTCCTCGGCAGAGCAATGGGTGGGCTATGTCCGTATTTTATATATTGATGTTCGTAGACGATCTCAATAACATTAGGATGCAGGTAGACTCAGCTCTCCTGAGTTCTCCTGGCTCCACCCTTTTCTCATTCTGGCTCCATCAGTTTCAAATGTTTTAGAGTGAAACTGACTGGAGTGTCCGTCTCTTCCCCGCTGCAGCTCCTAGGATATAAACCGTGTCCAATGTTTGTGTCAGACTCCATCAGGCCCAGGAGGAACAGCGCTGTGTTCAGGTGGAGAAGGTGCGGGTGGAGGAGGAGCTGAAGACCGAGATCACCTCAGCCAAGCAGGAGGCCCAGCGTCTCCGTGAGCTGCGAGAAGGAGCCGAGAACCAGAGGAGCCGGCAGAAATATGCCGACCAGGAGCTAGAACAGGTACACCTGCTCCACAGGTGAACCAGCAACCAATCAGCAGCTGGTGGAGGTAACCACTGCTGCTCTGGTGTCATCACAGGTTCGAACGCTGCTGAGAAAGGCAGAGAAGGAGCTGGAGTCACGGGCCCGCTGGACACCACCAGACGTTCTGCAGAAGTGGCTCCAGCTGACCCATGAAGTGGAAGTTCAGTATTACAACAAGAAGAAGCAGAGTGCAGAGAAGCAGCTGCTGCAAGCGCGGGAGGGGGTAGGTGGAGCTGACGGAGAGCAGCCAGCTAGAACCTAAACCAGCAGGTATCTGGTACCAGGAAACATATGAGCTTTTGGAGTTCCAGCTCATGTCTCCAGATTTGGATTCCAAGGAACCAGAACCTTGCTGGAGTCAGACCCCGGTTCCAGGTCAGCTGCGTGTGTTTATAGATCCAACAACAGAACCAGGACTAGTTTGTGTCTCTGACAGGCTCCTGGGACATCAGACACTAAAGATCCGGTTTAAACTGGTTCTTTTCTAGGCTGTTGACACATTTGTGGCTCATCCCTTGAGTTAGGAGCCTTTTCCTGCCTGAACAACTCAGAAGTAGAAACATTCCTCTAAGAGTGTTGTAACCAGAACTGAAGCTAAACTCCGTCAGAAAGTGTGAAAGGACTGGACTGAGACTTCTGGACTAGATCGGTTCTGTAGACCCGACTAACCTGATGATGTTTCAGGCAGAGAAGATCAAGAAGAAGAGGAGCTCTCTCTTGGGGGCCTTTCATGTGGCTCACAGCTCTTCTCTGGATGATGTCGACCACAAGATCCTCTCCGCCAAGTGAGTCAGACCAGAGGACCAGGTTCAGTGGGTCTCTGTCGTTAACCTGTACAGTTAACATGTGCCCCGCCCCAGACAGGCCCTGGCTGAGGTGACGACAGCTCTGAGGGAGAAACTCCACCGCTGGCAGCAGATCGAAGCTCTGACAGGCTTCTGTCTGGTCAATAATCCCGGTCTGGGGGCGCTGGCCACCGCCCTCAACCTGGACCTGGCCTTCCTCGGCCTGCGACCTCCGACCCCTCAGAATCTCCTGCTGTCAGATGACCTGGATGACATGGATGAGGACATCCTGTCTCCTGGGACGCTGCAGTGTAAGTCTGCCTCACTGAGGCCTCTGGGTGTCCAGCAGCGCCCCCTGCTGTTGGACTTATGAGGACGCAGATCCGCCTGATGCTGCTGCTTACTAATAAAACTTCTGTTAACATTTTTACTTCCTACGGAGGCGCAGGAGGGACAAACTAATCTGACATTTGGAATTTGAAGGTATTGCCTAAAACCCGGCCCCTTTTTCTGATTGGCTCTTTGCAGATGCAGCGTGGCAGATGGATCGGCGTGTGAGTGACCTTTGGCCTCTGAGTGGCATCACAGACAACCAGTCACCATGGAAACAGTCAGGTTGGCTCTGCCCTCCTCCTCCCTGGTCTCTGACTGGCTAGCAGTGATGTAATCATCCTGCGACTTTAGTCTAAAATCTTTAGTAATATTTATTTTCAGTTTCCAGTCAAACATCCTGAAAAGGAAGTCAGAATAAAAGTATATACCAACTGTCGTTCCTCCTGCAGTTCAGAGTCTGATGCCCCTGCGACAGAGGACGGGAGACCCTGGGTTGTTCAGTTCACAGAGGTTAGTTGTGGGGCGTGGTTTATCTCAGGAAGGGTTGGGTCTGTTTGTGAACCTGCTCCTATGCACAGCTGATGAACGAGGGCCCTGGTCTGATTTTCTTCTCTTCCTCTCAGGGACACCGTGAACCGCTCTGACTCAGCCCTCCCACTGTCTCTAAGCGAATCACAAGTTTCGTTTCAGTCGTACCTGCAATCATCTAGGCTCGACCCCCTGCAGATGGGGAGCTCTGCCCTGAGCAAAGGTGGTGGTCTGGAGAAGAGCTCCAGCCTGGTGGAGCTGAGAGGCAGCTCCGCCCTCGCCTCCTCCTGCTCCACACGCTCCCTCTGCATCACACCAGACTGCACCGAAGGGCCTGTGGCCTTCTCATCCTCTGCCTCATCCAGCTCATCGAGCAGTGGTCAGGGGGACGGGGTCAACATTAGTGGGAGGAGCCACCAGGAGGATGGAGGGCAGCAGACCGACTCCCCAAGGAACCGCAAGAGGAAGGTTTTCCAACAGATCTTCAAAAGAAAGCAGGACCACCACTGAAGGTGGCAGTTGTATCACTTCCAGCTTCATCTTTTCACCTCCTAGGATGAGGGAAGAAAACCACCTGAAGCCACCTGGGTTCAGACAAAAACTCACCACAGCTAAAAGTTTAGATTCATTTAGTTTGTATATTTTAAACTTATTTATTTTTGTTTTTGTTTCTTTTGTTTATGGAGACCAAAGAAGTTCTCAGCTGATCCAGCAGGACCCTCCGTATGGTCCGAACCTCCCCAGAACCCTGCTTCAAGATCCAAACTCTCTCATGAAAAAGTTGTTTAAATCTTCATGAATAAAGCATTTACTCAAACGTGACTCTTGGAGCAAAGCATTGTGGGTAAGGTGGATGCCCCGAAGTTGACCACGCCCCCATTGCACCCTTAAGCTGCAGCGATGCTAACCTCGGGCAAGGGTATTACCCACAAGTCATTGCTGCTGGAGAAAAGGCTCAAGTTCCTTTTCTGAAAATATGTATTTTCTATTGATACTAGTTAATTTTAGGATGATTAGTTGATGCTCTAAAACTTAGACAAAGCAGGAATGAATGTAAGTTTATTTCAAATAACTGGTAGTTTTGTTTAAAAGTTGTTAATAAAGGTTTGGGAAATAGTATCACAGCGGCCGGCATGCGCTGCGAACCCTGTCTCAGTTCTGCATTTACTTGCACACTTGTGAACCACGCACTCGGAGCCTTACAGCGCCCTTCTCCCGGTGCACTCTGCTGACAACCGCAAGGCGAGTTTTGAGATCGCGCCAGATTCACCTTCACCTGTGAGGATGCTGGTGGTGCGTTCACTGACCATCTGATGGCGACAGAGTCTAAGCCATCGGAGGAAGTGCATCTCTTCCCCTCTAACCCATGCACCAGACCTACACTGAGAACATTCTGAAGGAAAACCAGATTTCTATTTGGACCAAAAGCATCGGGACCAGTCCAACACGATGTGTCCACTGTCCTTCTGAGATGAACCTGTGTCTCCAGAATCCGGACGTTTCCTGCAGATCTGAATTCCTCCTTGTATGAAAATCCTCCAGGTCGGACCTCCATGTGGGCGAAGATGTTCTCCTGGCATGGTGGTTTCTGTTACGAGAGGTCAAAGGTCAAACCCTCAGACTCATCAGGGGTGTGGTCCTACCTGAGGTCAGGTGAAAACAGCAGAAGCTTTCTGAGGTAGACAGGAGTAACGGACACAAACAAACAGAAACGAACATGTGACTGAACATGAGCTCCCTCCCTCTCCCTCTCTCTCTCTCTAGTGCTAGGTCTCTCGCCCCGACATGACTCTGGTCTATATTTAACCCACAGGCCTCCTCCCTCCCTCTTTCATACATACTCGACATATTGAGGCGGCTGAGAGAAGCAGGATGGAGGTAAACTTCTTTCGGATGATTTTTTGAGTTTTGTTGCTTTAATTTAGAATAAAACGGGGAAACCGGTTTAATTTCTTCACTCTGAACTTTGTTTGCTTTTAAAAACTTTCCTTCCACTCGTCTGTCGACACGGTGAGGTAGGACTCGATAGCAAATTAACAGGAAGCCACACTGAATCACGTTTCTGAAGTCTGACATGTCGTTAGCTTGTTAGCTCGCGATCAGAACCTGAACATCTGACGCAAGAGGAAACAGCTGAGTGACGTCTAAACTTTTACTTAAATCTAACAAGGTTTACGCGTAAACAGAGCTGTTGATTGTGACTGTAGCTCACACCTGGATTTGACCCAGCAGCCGTTTCTCCACATGTGGGGATCCACAGGGCTCCATCCTCAACCCACTGTGGTTCTGTTCATCAGTAACATAAAGCTAAAGTCGGACTCGTGTTTATGTTCTTTCTTAACGTTTAGTGATTTTAAAGCACACACACACACACAGGAAGAGGAAGTGGGTTAACGGCTGTTTTCTTTCATCACTTCCTGTCTTCGGTTGTGGGCCAGCAGCTCTCTGTGGAAAAAGAGACTGAAGCTGGTCGTGATTTTATTATCTACTGAATGTCAGCTATGTAACCCCCGCATACCCAATTCCCGACAGCTGAGTGTGTGTGTGTGTGTGTGTGTGTGTGTGTGTGTGTGTGTGTGTGTGTGTGTGTGTGAGAGAGAGAGAGGTTTTAGGTGAGGGTTAGTGGTCGGCCTGGGACGATAAACGATATTATTGTTGACATTATTGAGACCAAAATAACCACTTGTGTAATGTTGATTTATCATAATAATGCAAGCAGAACCTTCTGAAATGTCCAGAACCAGAACTTCTAAATAGATAAACAAAAAAGGACTCTCACTCCCGGTTAGATAATAGTGCACCAAAAACAATAAAATAGACTTGATGCTGGAAAAATTATGACGTTCATTTTCATCTACTCCTCCTTGAACCGTCACCTTATCGTGGTGGAGGAGTTTGAGTGCCCTAATGATCCTAGGAGCTATGTTGTCTGGGGCACTTAGTGCCCCTGGTAGGGTCTCCCATGACAAATTGGTCTTAGGTGAAGGGTGAGACAAAGAACGGTTCGAAGGATCTTTCATGGCGGTTAAAACGAAGAGTCGGAGTACCTGGCCCGGAGGGTTACGGGGGTCCCACACTGGAGCCAGGCCTGGGGTTGGGGCCCGTGAGCGAGCGCCTGGTGGCCGGGCTTTCGCCCATGGGGCCCGGCCGGGCCCAGCCCGAACCGGATACATGGGCTCGTCCAACTGTGGACCCACCACCCGCAGGAGGAACATGAAGGGTCCGGTGCAATGCGAATCGGGTGGCAGACCAAGGCGGGAGCCTTGGCGGTCCAATCCCCGGACAAGAAAACTAGTTTTTGGGACATGGAACGTCACCTCGCTGGCGGGGAAGGAGCCGGAGCTTGTGGCAGAGGTTGAGCGGTACCGGCTAGATATAGTCGGACTCACCTCGACACATTGCATTGGCTCTGGAACCCGAGACCTGGAGAGGGGTTGGACACTCTACTTTGCTGGAGTTGCTCCGGGTGAGAGGCGGAGGGCTGGGGTTGGCTTTTTGTTAGCCCCGAGACTCTCTGCCTGTGTGTTGGGGTTTACCCCGGGGGACAAGAGGGTAGCTTCCTTGCGCCTTCGGGTCGGGGAACGGGTCCTGACTGTTGTTTGTGCTTATGGGCCAAATATCAGTTCAGAGTACCCACCCTTTTTGGAGTCCCTGGGACGAGTGCTAGATAGTGCTCCATCAGGGGACTCCATTGTCCTGCTGGGGGACTTCAATGCTCACGTGGGCAATGACAGCTTGACCTGGAGGGGTGTGATTGGGAGGAACGGCCCACCTGATCAGAACTCGAGCGGTGTTTTGTTATTGGACTTCTGTGCAAGCCGCAGTTTGGCCATAACGAACACCATGTTCGAACATAAGGATGCCCACCGGTACACTTGGTACCAGGGCAGCCTAGGTCACAGGTCGATGATAGATTTTGTAGTCGTATCATCTGACCTGCGGCCGTATGTTTTGGACACCCGAGTGAAGAGAGGGGCGGAGCTGTCAACTGATCACCACCTGGTGGTGAGTTGGATCAGATGGCAAGGGAACATGCCGCGTAGACCTGGCAGACCCAAACGCATAGTGAGGGTCTGCTGGGAATGCCTGGCAGAAGAACCTGTCAAGACGGTCTTCAACTCCCACCTCCGGCAGAGCTTTGACCACGTCCCGAGAGCAGTGGGGGACATTGAGTCCGAGTGGGCCTTGTTCCACTCTGCGATTGTCGAGGCGGCTGTTGCTAGCTGTGGTCGTAAGGTGGCCGGTGCCAGTCGTGGTGGCAACCCCCGTACCCGCTGGTGGACACCAGAGGTTCGGGGAGCCGTCAGGCTGAAGAAGGAGGCCTACAGGGCGTGGCTGGTCAGTGGGTCTCCGGAGGCAGCAGACAGGTACCGGATAGCCAAGCGGGGTGCAGCAGTGGCAGTTGCCGAGGCAAAATCTCGGGCGTGGGAGGAGTTTGGTGAGGCCATGGAGAAAGACTATCGATCGGCTCCAAAGAGGTTCTGGCAAACTGTCCGGCGCCTCAGGAGAGGAAGGCAGCAACTCGCTCACACTGTTTACAGTGGGGATGGGGAGCTGCTGACGTCAACTGAGGCTATAGTCGGACGGTGGAAGGAATACTTTGAGGAGCTCCTCAATCCCACCAATGCGCATTCCGAGGAGGAACCAGAGCTGGGAGGCCTGGGGATGGACTGTCCGATCTCGGGGGCAGAAGTTGCTGAGGTAGTCAAACAACTACACAGCGGCGGAGCCCCAGGGGCGGATGAGGTTCGTCCTGGGTATCTCAAGGCTATGGATGTTGTAGGGCTGTCATGGTTGACACGTCTCTACAACATTGCGTGGTCATCGGGGGCAGTTCCTAGGGAGTGGCAGACCGGGGTGGTGGTCCCCATCTTTAAGAAGGGTGACCTGAGGGTGTGTTCCAACTATAGGGGGATCACACTCCTCAGCCTCCCTGGAAAGGTCTACTCCAAGGTACTGGAGAGGAGGGTCCGATCGATAGTTGAATCTCAGATAGAGGAGGAGCAATGTGGTTTTCGTCCTGGCCGTGGAACTGTGGACCAGCTCTATACCCTTGCAAGGGTGATGGAGGGGGCATGGGAGTTTGCCCAACCAATCCACATGTGCTTTGTGGATTTGGAGAAGGCTTATGACCGTGTCCCCAGGGGCACCCTGTGGGGGACGCTCCAGGAGTATGGGGTGGGTGGCTTTCTGTTAAGGGCCATTCAGTCCCTTTACCAGAGGAGCGTGAGTTTGGTCCGCATAGCCGGTAGTAAGTCGGACCTGTTCCCAGTGAGGGTTGGACTCCGCCAGGGCTGCCCTTTGTCACCGGTTCTGTTCATCACTTTTATGGACAGAATTTCTAGACGCAGCCGTGGTGTGGAGTGTGTCGAGTTTGGTGGCAGGAGAATCTCGTCTCTGCTTTTTGCGGATGATGTGGTCCTCCTAGCTTCATCCAGCTCTGACCTTCAGCTCTTGCTGGGTAGGTTCGCGGCCGAATGTGAAGCGGCTGGGATGAGGATCAGCACCTCCAAATCTGAGAACATGGTTCTCGACCGGAAAAGGGTGGCTTGCCTCCTCCGGGTCGGGGGAGAGGTCCTACCTCAAGTGGAGGAGTTTAAGTATCTCGGGGTCTTGTTCACGAGTGAGGGTAGGAGGGATCGGGAGATCGACAGGCGGATTGGTTCGGCGTCTGCAGTGATGCGGACGCTGAGCCGATCTGTCGTGGGGAAGAGGGAGCTGAGCCAGAAAGCCAGGCTCTCGATTTACCGGTCGATCTACGTCCCAATCCTCACCTATGGTCATGAGCTTTGGGTAATGACCGAAAGAACGAGATCGCGGATACAAGCGGCCGAAATGAGTTTCCTCCGTAGGGTGGCCGGGCTCAGCCTTAGAGATAGGGTGAGGAGCTCGGACATTCGGGAGGGACTCGGAGTAGAACCGCTGCTCCTCCGGATCGAAAGGAGCCAGTTGAGGTGGTTTGGGCATCTGGTCAGGATGCCTCCTCGCCTCCCCGGGGAGGTGTTTCGGGCATGTCCTGCCGGCAGAAGGCCCCCGGGTCGACCCAGGACACGTTGGAGAGGTTACATCTCCAATCTGGTCCGGGAACGCCTTGGGGTCCTGCCGGAGGAGCTGGTGGA